AATGGGGTGGCAGAACGCATGAATCGAACTATACTGGAGAAAGTTCAATGTATGTTGTCCAATTCTGGGTTAGGAAAAGAGTTTTGGATTGAGGCAGTTATATATGCATGTCATCTTATTAATCGTCTACCGTCAACTGCAATTGAAGACAAGACGCCGATTGAGGTATGGTCTGAAAAACCTGTTTCTGATTATGACTCTTTACATGTTTTTGGTTCCACTGCTTATTATCATGGGAAAGAATCTAAGTTAGATCCTAGAGCAAAGAAAACAGTATTCATGAGGATTACCTCAAGTGTGAAAGGATATCGTCTTTGGTGTCCAAGTTCAAAGAAAATACTGTTTAGTAGGGATGTGACATTTGATGAGTCTTCTATGTTAAAAAAGAAAAGAAGAAGCCAAATGAAGGTTTTCAGTACTCCACAGCAGGTGGAGCATACTCAGCAGCAGGTGGAATTTAAAACAACATCAGTTAGTCCAGCTAGAAATGAGACTCCTATGATAGAGGAGTTTATTGGAGATGAAGAAGAAGATTCTTCCCAAGAACCTCAATAAGAATCTATTGCCGTTAATAGGCCAAGACGAGAAATTCGCAAGCTTGCTCGTTTTGCTGATACGGTGGCCTATGCACTCCCAATTGAAGATGGTGAAGTTCCTTCCACTTATAATGAAGTAGCTAGCAGTTCCAAAAATTGTAAGTGAAAGAAAGCTATGAAAGATGAGATGCAGTCTCTCCATAAGAATGAAACTTGGGAGGTAGTTCAATTACCAAAGAATAAGAAAGCAATTGGGTGCAAATGGGTATATGCAAAGAAAGAAAGATTTTCAAATTTGAAAGACATCCGATACAAAGCAAGGTTGGTGGCGAAAGGCTACACTCAGAAGGAAGGAATAGATTTCAATGAGATATTTTCTCCAGTTGTAAAACATTCTTCCATTAGAATTTCGTTGGCCTTGGTTGCTCAGATGAATCTTGAACTAATTCAACTTGATGTGAAAACTGCGTTTCTACTCGGTGATTTGGAAAAGGAAATCTATATGAATCAGCCAGAAGGATTTAGGATTATTAGGAAGGAAGATTAGGTTTGTAAACTGAAAAGATCGCTTTATGGTTTGAAACAATCTCCGAGGCCGTGGTACAAGCGATTTGATAGGTTTATGATAGGTCAGAAGTACACAAGAAGCAAATTTGACAACTGTGTGTATTTTCAAAGGCTACAAGGTGATACTCTCATTTATCTACTCTTATATGTTGATGATATGTTGATTGCTTCGAAAAACGTAGAAGAAATTGAGAAGTTAAAGGCTAAACTAAATCAAGAATTTGAGATGAAGGATTTAGGAGAAGCCAAGAAGATTCTCAGTATGGAGATAATTAGAGACAGAGGAAATGGCAAGGTTTGTTTGACACAAAAGCAGTTCTACAAAATGCCTTACAACATTTTGGCATAACTGAAAGTATAAAATCTGTAAATACTCCACTTGCTCCTCATATAAAGTTTAGTGCATCATTATCTCCAAATACGCATGAAAAACGAGAGTATATGTCAAAAGTTCCGTATTCAAATGCGGTTGGTAGCTTGATGTATTCAATGGTGTGTACTAGGCCCGACATTTCACATGCAGTTGGAATTGTGAGCAGGTATATGCATGATCTTGGTAAAGGACATTGGCAAGCTGTGAAGTGAATTTTACAATATATTATAGGTATTGTAAACATTGGTTTGGTTTTTGAACATGATGAAAATCTTAGTTAATTTGTTGTTGGCTATGTTGATTCTGATTATGCTGGTGATTTGGACAAGCGTTGGTCAACTACTGGATATGTATTTACTCTTGTTAGAGCTCCAGTAAGTTGAAAATCTTCTTTGCAGTCTACAGTTGCTTTGTCTACTACAGAGGCAGAATATATGGCAGTTACAGAGGCTGTAAAAGAAGCTATTTGGTTACAAGGGCTATTGGATGAATTGAAAAGTAGTCAGAAGAAGATCACTATCTATTCTGACAGTCATAGTGCTATTCACTTAGCAAAGAATCCAGTATTCCACTTTCGCACCAAGCATATAAATGTTCGTGACCACTTTGTGCAGGAAATCATTACTGAAGGAAGAATCTCATTAGAGAAGATTAGGACTACTGAGAATCCTGTAGATATTTTAACGAAAGTAGTGACAATGATCAAGTTCAATCATTGTTTAAACTTTATCAACATCCTGCGAGCTTGATTGTGCCTTTTGGCGCATTTGAAGGTGTTGCAAAATTTGACAGAAGAATACAAAACATTGAGGGTTTGCCAATTTGCCAAGGTGGAAATTTGTTGAAAAATTGCTCATTTAGCAAAATCACATGGGGTAGAAGTGATAATAGAGAAAGGTTTAGGGACTTATATGTAATAGGCCAAAAAGTTAGTTTGTCTCACATTGCTTAGGAATGAAAAGTGAGAAATTTTGGGACCCAAATCATTGTTATTTGTATCCCAAGTTGTATTTCCTTTACACTTCTCTTGTATAGGATTCTTTCATTAAGGACCCTTTAGATTTAAAAGTTTTGTTGTATCTTCCCTTTGTTTTGGGTATTTGTTGTATTGCCCAAAAGTTTGTAATATTGTTTGAAGATAGTGGAGTTTTCTTTTGCAACGCTCAAGGACGTAGGTTACAATACCGAACCTCGTTAATTCCTAGTATTCTTTATTTTTGGATGAAACATTCAAAGATGAACATAAGGCTATGTTGTTAATTGGATCTCTTCCAGATGAGTTGGATCATCTTAGTATTACACTTCTTCATAGGAAAGAAAAATTGTCCTTTGAAGAAGTTTGTTCTGCTCTATCCAATCATGAAATTCGAAAAAATGATCAGAAGGAGAATAGAGATGAGTCAGCAGAAGCACTTGTCGTAAGAGGGCGGAGTCAAAATCAGAGTCCTAAGAAGGAGAGAAGAAGAAGATCTCGTTCAAAGGGAAAACTCATTAGGGATCAATGTACCTTTTGACGTGAGAAAGGGCATTGGAAGAAAGATTGTCCGAAGTTTCAAAGAAAGAGGGCAAAGCTGCTTCTGATGCATACGTTGTTGAGCGTGATAAAGATGAGTCAGATTTCTGTCTAGTTAGCCTACCATCCACCTCTGGATCAAATGAGTGGATTATGGATTCAGATTGTACCTATCATATGTGTCCTCACAAGGAGTGGTTCTTTAATTTTGAAGAATTTGATGGTGGAGTTGTTTATATGGGCAATAATAATGCTTGTAAAACAATTGGGATATGTTCAATTCGGTTGAAGAATCATGATGGCTCAACTAGAACTCTGACAGATGTTCGGTATGTACCGAAGTTGAAAAAAAAAACTCCACTATCTCTAAACAATATTACAAACTTTTGGACAATACAACAAATACCCAAAACAAAGGGGAGATACAACAAAACTTTTAAACTAAAGGGTCCTTAATAAAATAACTCTATACAAGAGAAGTGTAAAGGAAATACAACTTGGGATACAAATAACAATGATTTGGGTTCTTATATATAGGCCCCAAAAATTTTCCACTTTTCATTTGTAAGCAATGTGGGACAAACTAACTTTTTGACCTATTACATATAAATCCCTAAACCTTTCTCTATTATCACTTCCACCCCATCTGATTTTGCTAAATGAGCCATTTTTCAACACTAATCACAAGGAACCTATTAATAGAGGGTAAGCAACAATGGGAAGAAAGCAATCCTTTGATGACTTCCAAACTGAGAAAACCAATATCTTTATGTTGGTCTGCCATTCAAAGTCGATCTTAACTCCCAACATTGATAATTTGAAACTTGCAGAATAATCCTAAACTATAAACACTCTCTAATTCTAAGAAAAAGTGCAAATAATTTCAGGCCCAAGCCATAAACATGAACAAATAATATAGCCTATATCCTCTAACCAAAACTCAATCTAGAGAACAGAAAAGGAGCATTTTTAAATGTTTGAAATCAAATTTTACTCAATTATCTGGCATTCCGCCTAAGAGAAGATAGTAAATAAATTGCAGATAATTTTGATAAATCTTTTACACACACAGACGGGAGTGTCCTGGCAGTGTCCTAATACATACAATTTTTGTAACACAGGAATGACCTCAACAGCTCATTTGGCCAGAAATTTCATTGTGAACACCCCAGCTGAGCATCTAAGAAACAAAATTAGCACACACTGCATCCAAGAATCAACATCAAATACCCCTTCCCCCAATCTGGCTATTCTATCTCTCTCTTTCTTATAAAGAAATAAAGAATAGCCAAAATAATGTTTTATAATAATTCAAAAACAAAATGGTCAATCAAACACAAGCAAAAAAATACGTCATCATCAATCTAGGAAGAAATAAACTGGACTGCTATTAGTTAATAAAAGAAAGACCACTAAATCCCTATAAAACTGTCTGTCTTTTTCACTCTTATATCGTCCATACATCTAATATTCCACATAACTGAAAAATGCAGGAAAGAGTAAAGCTTAAGCACTATCCCTTCTCATGCCAAAATGCAAAGAAACTTACTTTCACTTACTACATTGACAAAGAAAGGTACTCTGCTCAGCAAATTAAAATCCATACTTTTCTACTTTTGAGATTTGATAATTGCAAACCAGATAACCGCTGAATCTGACATGCAATACCAATTCCATGAATTATAGGTTCCAATCAAGCAATAAGCAAGAACTGCATGCAATTTCCCATTCCCCATACATGTAACAAAGAAGACAAAAAGGAGATTCAAACACTTGTACTATGGATTTAACATAATTCTGCAACCCATATCCCAACGGATAAATTAACCTCTCCGCTCAACTAAAAGAACAAACTTTACATCAGAACACATCCTTCTGTTGGCTTTTTTGACACAAAATAATACACTCTTATAGATGCATGTGTTGCTTATAAGTATGTCAACACTAGTAATAATCAAAAAAATATTTCAATGGAACGCAAAGAATCAAATTAAGCTGGAATTAATCAAACCTGCGACACGCAATACACTGAAGTCGTCCTTGCTTCCCGTTCTCCAAATAACTTTTCCTCTGCGCCACATTCTCATTAATGGCCTTCACGAAATGTAAAAACGCCTTGTTTAGGGCATTCTCATCAACCTCAAAATACTTATGCTTCACTACACTCTGACCACCACCAACACCATTTCTCATAAACTTGGAAGGCCTCAATTCCTCTTCAAACGGCCCACTCGTTCCCGCCAAACCCTCGCCGCTAGGGTTCACATATTGCAAATCATCACCGTACTTCCTCTTCATCGGTCCCACCCCGTCGGGCCCACCAATCGGTTTGTTCCAAAACTCCCGATTGTCACGAAACCCTCCCACTTCGGGACTCAATTGTGGCGGAAACCGATTACCGAAATCGTTCCGTAAAAAGCGGTGGGAGGGGTCCACGTGGCGGGGAGTGAAGTCGTAATCAGGCGGAAGGGCGAAGTAGGAGCGGACACTGCCGTCGGCGAGGATAATTGTACGGCGGTCGAGCATGTGAAAACCGTAAGCAGGAGGTGGTGGTGGGTCAGAGAAGGGGAAAGGAGGTCCGGGTGGAGTGAATGGGGCGTGGGCGGGGTCGGGTAGGGGTTTAGATTGGACGGGAGTGGGTGGTTTGGGAGAGGGGTTGGATTTTCGGTCGGAAGGTGGCTGTTTGGGTGATTCCCAGCGGGATTTACGGTGGGATGAAGTGGCGGAGGTGGAGGCGGATGGGCCTTTATTGGAAGAGGACTTGGGGTGGTTGCCACCGGCCATCCCTTTAGAGTTTGCTGGAGTGTTTATGGGAAAGAAGGTTGTGCGTGAGTGCGCGTGCGAGTGATTCTTCTGTTTGTTCATTCTATTGATGTTCTTCTTCTTTCTTCTCTTTGGGAAGAACTGTCAACTGTTACATTATATTAACCTTTGTCATTGGTATAGTAAGAAAGAGCCTGCGTTTATTGGGCCTTGGATTAGGCTTATTTTCCAGTTATTGGGCTTTAGGTGCTCATTGTCAGGTAGAAATTACAATGATAAAGAAATGAAGGGGCACATTATACCTCTTATTGTTTTATCCATTGCTTTGTTTCCCAATCCTTCCATGCGCCCATCTTTACCCTTCCCCGTAATTGTATATGAATTATCACAGTGGGTGGCATATAATCATATCATCCTGATTTGCTGCTGCTCATCAGGGGTAAAAACTGATAGGCTTTAGAGTTATCAGGAGGCTTCGAGTAATTCCATCCCATTAATAAACAAAGAGCTTTATACAAGCCCAAATCCACACGCAAGTCAGCAGTATCTGAGTTGTACGTGTGCATTATCAGGCCATGCATATCGTGGAAATCTTTTGAGACTGTAATTTTGCATATCAAGGGCATTGAACAATGATGATTCATTAATTCCTCTCAGAAATCACTATAAGCCCACAAGTCGGAACTCAAAAGACAATAAAGACAATGAATACAATAGTTTGACCGTAAATTCAAGGTACATTAGAATACAAGTAATTGGTGTATGGTAGCGAAGCCAAAAAATCAAAGTGATCATCAAGCTAGACGAAAGCAATAACTCCACAAGTTGAAGAAATAACTAATTTGACCATTGCATCAAAATAAATAATCTTCTTGAGAAGCATTTGAGCAAGATCTTGTCTTCTGAAGCACGGAATGGAAGTTCAAAGTGCACTAGAATAACATAGAACCAGATTTACAAGCAACTATCCCCAAAAGGACAGGAAGCTAGTTTGCACTGAAAATGACTGAAGAACAGACATAGTGAGACCTATAATGAGTTGCACAACCCAAGAGAACATAATACACTTTAACAGAATCATGAAGACACTTTCAGAGGCCCGCACTATTGAGGGCGCACTTCAGCATAGAAATTTTTTTATAACACTTTGTCAGAAAATTAGAAAGTGCTACTGACATTTAGCAAATGGTATAAAAATACATCTTTAAGAAAGCAATTTGGTTTTCAAGAATAGCGGAATGTGTTACAAATAAGAAATATGCTTTGTCAAGGATAAAGATTGGTTTTTGCCCCGGTTTTTGCTCTTTCACAATAAACAGCATATGATAAATAAGACAAGTGGAAGTTAGTGAGATGATTAGGTGTTGTTTCTACACACGAGGCTATATTGACTTCAATAGAAAGAGGAGAAGTAACATGTTAACAAAAAATATCCAACTACAAGATATAACCTCCAATGCGAAGTTTGAAAAGTCACTATACTTGGTGGAAAATCTCAATTAAAAATATATAGAAACAGAAAGGCTATAACATAAATACAAGTCAACAACTACAGAAGCACTTGGTATCAAATGAGAGTATTACAAAAGATTCCAGCTTATAGAATTAAATGTTTAACCAACAAGGCTTAGATTTATTGATAGTAAATCCTCGTGGGTCTAGTGGACTGCATTCTTGACAGAATCATGGACAATCATTCCTTTTTGGCCTTATTTATCTTTTGCCTTCACAAGAATAAGTTATATTAGCTTATAGGTACTACTAGTAGACTCATAAAAACAAACGATACTAGGAGACCTAGAGTTATGTTCAATTCACACTCTAACTTTGATACCATCTGAATAATCATTAGTAATAGTTACACATGGATACACTCTTGCCACCAAATTTCACTATCACCTTATTTTTCTCTTATCCATTTTTCCTTTATAATGCAACAAAAGTCAAAGAATAGTAGTAATTTCTAGTCAACATTTGGAAACACCATCACAAGTTAAGAATCTAAACAAATTAGTCTATTCAAGGGCAAAAACAACTCAATACAAAATAAGTGTTAAGTCATTAATGCACAAAACAATAGTCCTACTTTATGAGAAACTTTAAGATTCATACATAGCTTTCCGTAATCAAATATATCAACTCTAAATTATCAATAAAAAATAGCAAGAACTAAAGTAACATATACAATAGTCAAAAGTAAGCAACAATTGAGTTGAAATTCAGACCACATATAAGCTGTCAGGAAACATCACATCTAGCCCTTGATGAAGTGAAGTAAAGAATTCAAACATCAATTCATGCCCTTGGCCATAGTTACCATATAGAACTAAAAGAGGCAGATAAAAAGGAAACACAGTCTACACAATTTCAGCTCTAGCATGAAAAAAGTTTTTTTTTCACATCATAAATCAAAGCCACAAACACTCTACTTCAAAGTAACAAATATTCGTAGGGTTTGTCAATTACAGAGCCTATGACACTAGCTATCAGCAACAAAATGCAATTAAAATAAAAACTACTCAGTAAAAACAAGATGAAATAGAAAGTCCAGCACAACTTTCAGATAATTTCACATCAAAATGTGGCCTCACAGCATCTAAATGCCTAAAAATGTAATCTCATAGTAATGCAAAACAACAATACAGCTAAATGCAAAATTTCATATAAAATTAGGGCTACGAGAACAGAATCTCAAAGACCATTGAAACAGAGCACCATTGTGAAAGCCACCATCGAGATGCTTATAGAAAATATGTTAATATAATGCTGGTTAACAACACAAGACCTTAGGGGCCACATGTAAGAATGTTAAGCAAAATATTGCGCAGCAAGCATAAAAGTCAAGAGCTGCAGTAATAAAATATCACACAAAAAATTTGCTTTCTACTGAAGCACCTGAACTTAAGAAAATGTCATTATCTCTAGAGAGTCCCCCAATATTTTATTATGCCTAGGAGACAAAATTCTAATTAGGGGACTGGAGTTCAGTCTGTCGATTGACATTCCATATGAATCCATCCTAAATCCACAAAATGTACAAACAAGAAACTGAGACACAAATAATCCTGGTAGACAATTTACAAGAAATCATAAGGCAAAACATAATCTTTTGGCAGATTAGAAGGTATACCCCGGTAAACATTTACAAAAAATCATAAGCAAAGCATAATAGAAATGATTCTTATTGACAGATATCATCAGATCAAGAAGTTCTAAAACCAGAAACTGGAGAGGCCTTCAAAATAAGTAATATTAAAAGACAACATGCAAAGCCACACAAGAATATTCCAAACCAATATGCAAAAAGGCCAAAATCAAGCAAGATAAAGCCATCAACTTATTGAGAAAAAAAGAGTGGATAAATCACTGTCTAATGCATGATCGGGCTGCAACTGATAACATTGAAGAACAGAAAATTTTTAGGACTGTAGTGATACTCATGCTAAAGACATAAGTAGCAAAAAATGTGCCAACTAATTAGCTAAAACCTTATCAGAAGCATATTTACAAAACTTTTGTTAAGGTTCACAATGCACTTTTTTCCTGTGAAGGGCTGTTTTAGAATTCTCTTTTGTTTTCGGAAGTCCTGGGTATACTGATGTTAGTTTTTTTTTCTTTTTCCAGTTTTGCTAGTGGACATACTTGTTATGTTTGTAAGTTTCAACAAATAATGGTTTCTTATAAAATAAAAAATAGAAGGTCCAAAAAGTACAGTTAACAACAAGATGATCATAAAAGAAAAATATAATGAGAGTTTACAAGTTTAATAAGCTAAACAGCTCTACAGCAAGTGTGTTTTTCTAGAAACTCCATTTGTAGTTACGTATCATGCACTCATTAACCACAGAATTTTAATGAAATCATCAAAAGTGTAAATGTGTTCAAACGTTAAACCACTATTGTCCATGCATGTTCTCCTACCATATCAGTTCTTACTATCAGTCCTGAATCCTAAAATATAATAAAAGAAAGAATTAAAGGTTCTGAAATCGCAAAAGCACCTACCAACTTATCTTGGCTACAAAATCATAGCCATGTGCAAATTACTGAAAATATGAGCTTCCGAACTAATTTATGTCAACACTGGAACATGTTCATTCTAAATATCAGCCTATAGTCATCATGAAAACAAAAATCACTATAGTACAGAGTTCCCCGGCAAAAAAGCAAAGTGTATGTGTTCTCCTGATAAGAATTGACCGATCAACCAAAAACATGCAAAATGATTGTAAATGACTGGAAAAGAGTAGGAAAAAAAAACAATGACACATTGGTCAATACATAATCCCATTATTATGGGAACAAGCACATCTGTTGACACATAGAGAAAAGCAAATGAAACACTAGACATATATTCTTAAAATTAGATATAAAGTTATCTCATGTAAACAAGATCAAAAAATAAAACCTACTTATTAAATTCCAAATGTTTCCTCAAATTCTAAATCACCCCACATTCCCTTCCTTTTTAGGTCCAAAGTGTTCTACAAACAGTTGCTTCTGCAAAATCTAAACAGAATAACCACTAATAAACTGTCAGCCACATTTACCGTAATTTATCCGCTTTGGAAAAGAAACTATCCAGCTGCAGGAAAAAAAATAAAGAATTCAGTCATATTGCAATACATGAAGTAAAATAATGATCTTTTTACAAGCATTCAACTCCTTGGCATTAATTCATACAGACAAATCAAGTTTAATACAAGCAGTGACCACCTTAAATTTGATTAACCAAAGCTAAAAACAATTCATACTGGAAGTTGCACCACACCCATCCGACAAAAATTCCGCAATCAGCTACACTGGTAGAAAGACAATAACCAATCCAACTTCCAGTTATGAAAAGTTGTATATGAACATTACCAAAAAGTTAACACACAAGCATGAGACCTTGATTAAAACGTTTAGAATGAAAAGCACAAGCATTTAATGGATATGTCTTCCAAGAAAGTTTCTACACCATTCATATTGTCCTTACTATGCAAAATAAAGGTGGTGACAATGCTAAGACAAAAATAAGATCTAAAAACATATCTTCAAAGTCACCCTACCAAGCACACAAGCCTTAAAATAGCAGCAATAGAGTAAGCCACTAATTCTGTAATCAAAATTTTTAAGAGGAA